TCTAAAGATAGCTACTCCTACCTTTTTTGGTTACCATTTACTTGAAATCTCTTTTTCCACACCTTCAGTATGAGTCTTACATGTGTCTTTAGGACTAAAGTGAGTCTCTGGTAGGCAGCATATCTTTGGATCTTGTGTTGTTATTTATTCAGTTGTTATATATCTTTTGATTCGAGAATTTGACTTTTTCATATTTAATTGTTGGTAGACAAGGACTTATGTTGTCATTATCTTGATTGTTCTCTGCCTGTTTTGTAGACACGTTGTTTCTTGCTTTTTATCCTGCCCTCTTTTTTTATATTTTGATGTCGTTTGGTGTCAGTGTACTTTAACTTTTTATAATGATCTTTTGTGTGATTACTGAAGGTTTTTCCCTTGTTATCATGAGGATTTTGTGAAACAGTTTACGGATAACTTCAGTAGCTTCCTCAACTTGACACTCCGTTCCCCGCCCTCTCACGTTGGAGGCTGTTGGGGCTACAGTTCACGTATTTCTTACATAGTGTATCCAATAACAGAATATGCTAGTTCTGGTTATGTTTACTGTATTTTAACCTTTGAAGTTGTAAGTGAATTATGTACCACCAGGACTGTATTACAGAACTGACCAACTATAAATTTACCTTGACCGGTGAGTTTTACGTTCCCTGCTCATGTTGTTATGATGTTAATTAGCATTTTGTTATTTCCGCCTAGAAAACCCCTATTGAGCATTTCACGGAGGGCAGGCCTAGTGGTGGTGAGCTCTGTCCACTTTTGTTTGTTAAGGAAAGTGTTTATCTCCCCTCATTTCTGAAGGACAGCTGTGTCAGGTATAGAATTCCTGGTTAACAGGGTTTTCTTTGTCTGTAAATACTTTGAATACATCATCCTATTCTCTCTTGGCCCCAAGAGTTTGTGGTGAGAAATCACCCCATATAAGGCTGGTTCCTTCTGTGTACTTTGTGTGTTTTCTCTTGTTGCTCTCAAAGTTCTCTCTTTGTCTTCGACAATGTAATTATAATGTATCTCCCTGAAGCCCTATTCAGGTTTGACCTGTTTGAAGTCCCCTGGGCCTCGTGGATCTGGACGTCCACTTCTGTCCCACGCTTGGAAGCTTTCAGTCATTATTGCTTTAAATATACTTCTCTGTCTCTTTCTCTTCTCCTGGAATTCCCAAGGTGCGGGAACAATTCCCATAGGCTTTCTTCATGCGTTTTTCTTTTTGCCCTTTTAGTTGGATAATTTCAAAGGTCACTCACTCTTTTTCTGCATTGTTAGGTCAGCTGTTGGAGCTCTTGAATTCTTCTCCTCAGGGATTATTCAGTTCTAGGATTTCTGGGTTATTTCATGGTTTCTTTTTCTTTGTTTTACTTTTCATTTTGCTTGTGTGTTGTTAAGAGCATCACTCTGAGTTTTCTGTGTGATCGTTCATAGACATCCATTCGTGTGTTGTACTCAGAGCTTGGAATCTTGTGGGGCCAGCAGGACATGTGCTCGAGGGTGTGTTTTGGATTTCGTGCTGCCTCCAAAGGTCATCTGGCCTTTCTGAACGTGTTTGGCGATGAGGCACTTCTGCTAAGTCGCTCCAGCAGAAAGAATTTTGGTCAGTTTTGGATGATTTCACAGCTTTTTTCCTCATGGGGCATGAGGTGAGGTGCAGCTGAGGTCGGGGCAAAAGGGACGCCTTGTTCTGTGCTGAAGCTCATGTTCTCGTTTCTGCAGCCCAACTTCTTGGGTACCACTCGGACTATAGAACATCATTCTGTCTTCGTTTTTCTGGCTGTCACTTCTCCGAGCCTGACCGTAGTTGTAAAGAACTCTGGAGCCCCGATCCTGTGTGTCCGGGAGGCGCTGGGCCCGTCTCACCTTTGTTACAGGGTGTCCTGCCCCTGGATGGGACGAAGATGCCTGACAGACACAGCCCACACTGGCTCTCCAACCCAGGAGACACTCAGGTCCTCGCGAGCACACCCAGTTGCGGGCGTCCTTTAGAATGGTGTTTGGGATAGGAGCCCCTCTGAGGTCCGGCTGGGCCCACCGGGACCTGTGGGGTGACTGCAGTCGCATCCAAGTGCGGCAAGTGCAGCAAGTGTGACGTTCCCTCGGGCCCTCCCTGGCACAAGGTGCAGATGCCAGCGTGGGAGCCTGCCGTCGAGCCCGGCGTGGGGAACGTGTGTTTAGGACCAGAGTTGGGGGCTGAGACGACCCCCTCCAGGCTGAGCCCGGGTCTGTCTGCCCCATGGTGTCATGGGCGCTCACGTGGAACTCCTCCAGCCACGTCTGTGTCTCTGCTGTTATTTATCGTCTTACTGCGGTCGTTTGTGTGATTTCTGCCTCTTCTGACTACTCATCTGCCCCGAGAGAGTGTTGCTCACTTGTCCTGATGACTCGCGGTGCCTCTGAGGTCGAGTCCCGCCGTGACCCTGGACGTGTGTGTGCTGGGCGGTGGAGTCTCGCTCTCCTGTCAGTGGCCCGTGTCAAGGGGAGGCGAGGTGCAGGTGGAGGCTGGGCATTACGTGGTGGGCCGTGTTAGGTGGGAGATTTGGGTCTGGGGCAGGCTCCCAGACTCTTCCACACGGGGGTGGGTGGGCCTGGAGGGAAGAGCGCCCTGCGCTGCCTGCGCACGTGCAGCCTCCCTGGGCTAAGGACGTCGGTGCGTCTCCGGACCCGTGAGCGTGAACTGGTCGGGGGAGTGGAGGGGACGGGGAGGTACGCGGCGGCCCCACGCACAGAGAGCCGAGAGGGGAGTGTGTTCTGTGTGCCGAGGTTTTTACTCCTCGGACTGGGAGTTTAAGGTGCTTCCCTTGGGGTTCCCGTTTGCTAGCTGTGTGGTGGAGGCAGACTTGCCCTTCGGCCCCGGCTGCGCCGCCCCCCAACCCCTGCGTCTTACTGAGAAACGGTGGACGCCCGTCCCCGTGTGAGCCGAACGCGTAGAGCACGATGGTGTGAAGTGATCCCCACCCCCCATTCGGCTGACATCCATCTTGTCAGAAACGTTTCTGCCTTAATGAGAATTCCTGGGGTCCACCCTTCCCCGCGGCCTGTCTGCCGTGCTCCGTCCCAGCTGTCGTGCACCTGCACACCCCAGGGCTGGTTTCTCGGCGTTCTGGACCTGTCCCTTCCCCCATACCTCCTGCAACCGCCAACTTTAGTTCTTTGGGGACGAGTGTGGTATTTTGGTTTGGATTCCACACGCGCGTGAGATCAGGTGGTACTGATGTCTCAGCACAACCGTGTCCGACGGTGGGACCCCTCGTTGTTTATGGCTGAGAAACGGCCCGTGTGTGCGCACGGGACCCTTCCGCTGGCCCTGCCTCTGGGCATCTGCTTCCTTCGCTTCAGGAAGGAAGCGAGCCCCCCCAGGCAGGCTCCTGTGCCCCCCCGCCCCCGCCAGCGCCTGCTACCCCGTTTCCGGCCGAGCCGCCTTCACCTGTCAGGAGCCTTCGGAGGACGTCTGCGGCTGGTGGGCTCCCAGGCGACTGCGCCCAGAAATGCTGTGAATGGCCGACGTGAACGGGGTCTACCCCCACGTGGCGTGTGTCCTCGGAACAACCGCGGGGTGGGGGTGGCGTGGCCACTGGCGGACTGGCCACTGGCGGACCGGCCCCGGGGCAGGTGTGACGAGGAAGAACCTCAGCCCCTCAGGAGGCCTGCTGTCCTCGCCGCCCGCTCCTGTGAGACGTGTCTGACGAGTCTTTGACCGGGCAGGAGCCTGTGAGCACCTGGCTTCGGGGGAGGCCCCTGAATGCGGGGGGAGACCGACGAGTTAGCACTGGGAAGTCTTGTGAGCGCCCAGGGAGTTGTGCGTCCGCGAGGACGCTGGGCGGCAGGAGCGCCTGGGACTGAGCGGCCGTGCTGCCGGGGGTGGTCCCTGGTCCGTGTGGGGCCCCCGGGCCGGCAGGTGCCTGCTGAACCACGTCCCGCGGCAGAGCCCGTGGAAAGATGTGGCCTCCCCAGACCTCGTCAGGGAGTGAGCAGGAGTGCGTGCAGGGAGGTCCCTGTGGGAGCTTGGGGTCCTGGCACCCACCCACCGGCTCCTGCGTGCTGAGCGCACACCCACCCTTCCCTCTGCCGGGGCTGTTTCCGCCAGCGCAGCGTGAGCGCTGCGGCCCCGCCCCGGCCCCGCCCCGGCTCGCGCTACGGCGTCTGCGGCCCCCCGCCCTGCTGGCTACGCCCTCTCGGCACCCCCGCTTCGAGGCTGCCTGAGACCTCGTCAGGGAGTGAGCAGGAGTGCGTGCAGGGAGGTCCCTGTGGGAGCTTGGGGTCCTGGCACCCACCCACCGGCTCCTGCGTGCTGAGCGCACACCCACCCTTCCCTCTGCCGGGGCTGTTTCCGCCAGCGCAGCGTGAGCGCTGCGGCCCCGCCCCGGCCCCGGCCCCGCCCCGGCTCGCGCTACGCGTCTGCCGGCCTCCCGCCCTGCTGGCTACGCCCTCTCGGCACCCCCGCTTCGAGGCTGCCTGCGTCCGCGTCCGTGAGGCAGGCTCCTGAGGCCTCTCCCTGCGCGGCCCTGACTGGTCCCCACCCCCAGTGGCTCCGCGGGCTGGCGACCCGGCCTCTGTGGCGTCGGACTCTCAGACGCCGAGGCCAGCATCGTCGCGTCGCCTCCTGGTCCAGTTTCCGGGGTTGCTTTAGGTCACGCTACGTGTTTCACGTTTCAGAGCGTCAGGGTCACCGTCCTCCAGGCCCAGCTCTATGACCCTGGGCGCCGAGTGAGTTCATGGGGACCTTCCTTTCCCTCCGATCCTTCCTTCTTCCTAGCGCAGAGCCAGACGCTGAGGGTCAGACACAGCCTGACGTGTGTGCCTTCCTGTCCGACTCGGGCCGTGGGGCTGAGCAGACCGCCGCCCGGCCTGTTCCTGAGCGAGGCGAGCCGGGCACGGCCGCGGGTACTGCAGCCCGGGGAACCGCCTGTGTGTGCGGAGCCGGCAGAGGCGGGATGAGTCTGCACTGTGCTGGATACGGAACCGTCTTGTTTCTTTCCTCCATCGGAGCTGACCTTTTTCTAACCTCCTGTTAGGTTCAGGGAGCAAGTTTCCGAGGCTGGAAAGAAGTGACTTCTCTGTTTAATAAAGATGATGAACAGCACCTGCTGGAAAGATGTAAATCCCCCAAGTCCAAAGGGTAAGTGTCCGTGGGTTCCAGGGGGAGGGCGGTGAGTGGACAGAGACGCGCTGTGCTCATTTTGACGCTGTGGCAACAGAAGAAACTAGGAAGTGAGATGCGCTTCTGGGGTAAGGTCACGGGGGTATAGCCGTCACTAGCACCTGGAGAGCTTCTGGGACAAGTGAAGGAAGGTTTCCGAGACCAGCTCTCGAACTCGGAATTGGAAACACTCAGCCTTCGAGCAGCCTCTAGCCATGCATGAGAGGTTTACTAACTGCAGAAAATCAAGGGGGAGAAAAGTTAAAAATGCAAAGGATTGGTGAACTGTAAAAGATTGTAGAAAATTGAATATATTGAAACTGACATGTTTATTATACACAGAATTTTTAAAAGTATATTTAAACATGAAAAGATAAAGTCAGTGAGAGCTGAGTGGGGTTGCCATCGGCGTGTTTGATGAGAGGTGAGCCTCAGGAGCCCTGGCCGCGGACAAGGAGCTGCTGTGGGGGCCAGGGGCACCCAGGCAGCCCTGCTCCAGCCCCATGGCTGGGACTCCTCCTCCTCACCCTCCTGCCCGCCCCACGGAGGGCTGTGGCCCTGGGTCCCTGGGGTCAGCATCTGTGGGGTCCCCCAGTCCAGCACACGGGACTCTTGGGGGTGCAGCCTGGGCTGTGCGGGCACCATGGCGCCCTGGGGATGCCCCTGCTCTCGGGCTGGAGGGACAGCGGCCTGTCCCCGGCCCCCTCGTGTCTGAATCTCATTTGTGTTCAGCAAATTACCCACTCACTGCTCTGTGTGTATGTGAATAGCTGTTGAAAACGAGTTTGATAAATGGAATATTTATCCCCATATTTCTTAACTAGGACCCTGCATTTCCTGTTTTCTACTTTGCTCAAATACTCGAGTATTTCCTTGTGTGAAAACTAGCTCTTTGCTTGTGTACGGCCAAGTGTGGTACCTTAAAATACAGCTTTCACGGTTTCCCTAATACGCAGTGACGAAGTTTTCTTTACTAATTTTAATTAAAATTCTTTATTACAGATTTGTGGTCACTTTCTAAATGACTTAAACTTTTAAAAGAGCGTTAGGTACATACGGCGGACACTAATTGAGGCCCTGAGATCACTGGGTCACCAACACTTGGCTGTCTTGTCTCCCACAGAACTAACTTGCGGTTAAGAGAGGAGTTGAAGACAGAGAAGAAGTCTGGATTTTGGGACAATTTGGTTTTAAAACAGAATATTCAGTCTAAGAAACCGGATGAGATTGAAGGTTGGGAGCCTCCAACACTTGCTCCTGAAGATGTGACAGCCGATGCAGGTGACGCTGCGAGTGGCCGTCCCCCTCGGCCAGGCTGGGAGGAGGACGGCAAGGGCCGTAGCAAGTACAGCAGCCTGGCGAGCTCAGGGAACAGCTCCCGCTGGAGCCTCCGGTCGGCCGGGAGGCTGGTGGGCATCCGACGGCAGAGCAGGGGCCACCTGACCGACAACTGGGAAGAGCTGGAGTGACCATCCGGCCCCGCTGTGGACAGGAGAGGCGCACAGGGCCGCGTGTTCTCCAACCACAACTGCTGACGCGGCCCCTGCGTCTTCTCTCCCCCCATGCCGGTCTGAGAGTTTGCGGTCTCACGCTGCGTTCATTCCCATGTCCGCTGGTCCTTCCCGCGTGGACGAGAGCGGAGTACTTTTTCTGCCTGCCCGCGTCCGGACGTTCCTGTCCGCGGACTGATGGAGGAGAGCCCCAGCCGGTGGCTGCCTCCTGGGAAACGTCTGCCCCTTCTTGTCGCAGCGCTGTCAGACGCGGTCCTGTGGGCTGCGCCCTGCTGTTCTCCCCTGTGTGCCCTGTCTCTCCCCCTCCCCCGTGACCCCCGTGTCCTGCATGTGGTGTCCGTGTGTGTCCATGACACTCGACTGTAGTGGCGGGGCCGGGCTCTCTTCCCAGAAGCCCGTGATCCAGCTGTGAAACCAATCTTCCAAAGGTTATGTTAAATTGTGTTCAACCTGGCAAATTAAACCTTTTTTCATCTTAAATACCAGGAAAGCAAAGGTTACATTTGATGCAGCACGAAATGCCACTCTCCGCAAAGCATCTTCATCACTTGCGTTGGGAGGAGGAGTCTCCTGTGTGCATGGAGGACGGGGACAGTGGTTCTTACTTTAGGGTTCATCTTACTCGTCCTGAACGTCCACGTCCTGATCTTCATGTTCTGAAAACGCATTGTTCTGTGATTGCAGGTTAAAGAATACCATCAATGTGGATCAGGTTTAGCAACTTGATTCTCTGAATTGTTCTTGGAAAACACTAATTTGCTGATGGAGTTAAAACTGTATATAAAATACTGCAAGTGCCTCTTTTCTATAATGTGCAGGTGTTTGGTTTCCAAAGTGAGTCAGTTGCCGTGGCTACTGCCGGACGCCCAGGAAGGATGGGCCGCGCACCATGCACGGGGCTCCTTCACAGCACCGCCGGGTCCACAGGTGGCGCCACAGCTGCCTGAGGCAATGGTGGTTTGGAGGAAAAGGTTTAGGGTGTTTCTGATTAAAAACAGAAACCTCCAGTGACACTGTGCATACCTCTCGTGAGAAAACACGGTCCCCCGTTGGCTCCGCATGCACATCTGTGCCGCGGAGCAAACACACTTGTGGAACCCACGCGGGCCCGGTGGCGGGACTCCTGTTGGTACAGCGTCAGTCTGTCCTCCATCCATCCGTCCATCTGTCCACCCATCTTTTTTACTAGAAGAAGCTTACTTGACTGAGTTTTGAACAGGGGGGGCATGTTTAAATGGCATAAAAATAAAGATCAGTTTGTTAGAACCTTGAGATGCTGGGGGTGTGTCTGGTGATGCTGGTGGATGTTGGTGGAACAAGTCCTCAGGGAAAGGGCTCAGTAGGCAGCGGTGGCCCTGCATCCCCTGCAGCCGCACCCATGCGGCTGTGACCTGGGCGCGTGTGTTAGAGCCTGAGCTGAGGGGCAGGGGAGGAGGCTCTGTGTCTGGGACTCTGGGCGCGGGCAGAGCAAAGTCAGGACCCCGAGACCTGCTGCAGGTCGCTGCACCCACGTGTGGCGACGCCAAGTGCCTGTAACTCACCTCCGTGCAAATCGGTGACGCAAGGCTGACGACAGTTCTTCATAATATGGTTTCTCAAAATCTGAAGACAAAGCCAGATCGGAATTGGAACGTGCACCATAAATCACATTTTTCTTATCTACAGAGATTAATGTTAGAATAAACTTTTTCTTCTGTTGTATCTGATTAAATGAAAATAAGTATGTTTGCGGTTTTTAATTTATTTATTGGTGTGCTTTGGGAGAGAAGTATTTTTTCTGATAGAATTTACCAAAGCAACTTTGTGTTGTTCATGGCTTAACAAGAGAACGTGGTTTTTTGACTTTGGAGTTTTTGTTTGCATTCTGTGAACACACGACTTCACTGTGTAAAGAGCGAGCGCTCTGTGCTCCTCCTGTTGCTTACTTTGTAAAAGGAAAGTGATTGGCTTCGAAGAAGGCAGAATTCATTCTCAACGCTGAGGTTTTAAAAAAATAAAAGTATCGTTCATTTCCTCTTTCGTTATTAGTCTGCATGGTTATTGGCAACGACTTCGGGGTGACTGCTTACGGTGACTTGAGTCACGGAAAGCTGATGGCACTTTTCTTGATACCTTAAACCTCATTTAAAAGTGCAAACAATACACATAGACTATTTCATAAATGACCAATTTCAACCAAAGTTTTTGGGATGTATCTTTTGCATATTTGAGCCGCCTGCTTCCACTGTCCTGTCTGTGAGGAACCAGGGGGCGCGCCTGTGCTCTGGGCGGAGTTTAGGGTCAGGAATTAGTGACGCACCCAGCTGAGAAGCCAGAGCATCCCAGCAACAGTACTTTTACTTAATCACCCTTCTCTTTTGAAAAGATCACCGTCTCTTACGAGAAAGTCTGTGAGGAACAGTGGCCTGTTCCAGAGGAGACAGGTGCGTACCTCAAAAACTGGGGATGCACGCGGCCAGCCGAGCTCTGCCATCTGGGGATCTCCGGGCGCAGGTCCTTCGGGGAGGGAGGCGTGGGGGGCACTGCGCCCGTCCTGTCCTCGGGGTCCTACCTCTGGAGATTTCCTTCCTCATCTCAAGGGAGAGCTAGTCCACGTCCTGTCAGTGAGGGGGCCTGGGAACCCTGCCTGGGGAGTGGGGGGCGGTCCCCGTGTGTCCAGGGAGCCTTCTCCACCCGCCCCTCCCAGGTTACTTCTAGCCACTTCCTGACTTTCTGGTTGCATGCTTATTCTTCAGTGGGTATTTCTTGGCCTGAACAGAAGACCAGCAGGGCTCTCTATTCAGGAAGCTTTGCAGATTAACTGGCTAAGACAATTTTTCTAACTTTGTGATCCTTTTAAATGTTCAGAATCACTCACTGGGTGGAGCTGAACGCCAGGGTGGGCTGCAGGGGGAGCCGAGGAGGCGTCTGCCTGACCTTTCCCGCGGGATTCGGTGCATTCCCCGGGGCGGGGAGCCGTCTGTCCCCACGTTCTGGTCCCCTGTGGCTGTGCCTGGCAGCCGGCAACCCCACCAGCTGGCCCTGGGCAGGTCCTCACCCCCAGAGCCCCCAGACCCCACCTGCCAGTTCAGGCGCTGGCTCACTGGCCCTGGGCCGTCCCATAGGATCTGTTCCCAGGCCCAGCCTGGGCCTTCCTGCAGCCCTGCTGGAGCATCCCAAGTACAAGGGATTCACGGGCGTGCCCCCCACCCTGCCCCCCCGCGACCCCTGTGCTGCCACCTTCACAGAAACCAGGGCCGAGGGTGGTTTGTGTGCTGGTCAGACTCCCCGGGGCGGGGTCGTGGGATCTGTGCTGTGTGGGTGGACTGTCCCCTGTGCCCACGGAACGTGTTTCCCAGACCCCCAGCCGAGACTGTGGAGACCTGAAGCCACAGGGCACCGGGAGCCCTGCAGACCGCGCACCTGGAGCTCATAACTGATGAGCCGGGTGTGGTGGTGGACGTCATGTGGACGCTGTCCCTCTCAGATACCCCGCGTCCCCACAGAATGCCTGTGACAGACGGAGGCAGGGCGGTGGTCAGGCCTCAGGCCACTAGCGGCCTCTGGTGCCGTGGCCGTGAGCCCGGCGACCACAGGGACTTCAGCGAGGGTCCATGCAGTCAGAGACCCTCTGGCGGGTTTCAGGAGTGCCCCACACTGCGTGCTGGCCCTCGCAGTCCCTCAGTGTGTCCCCCACTTGGCCACCCAGCTCCTTCTCCATGTCGGTCTGCTCGTCGGCCTTGAAAACCACTGACACTTCACTCCCTGTGTCCCTGGGGGCACCTGGTCCGGCTGCTCATGGCGGCAGTGGCGGCGGCGGCAGCAAGGACCTCTGGCACACGTTGGGTTCAGAGTAGGGTCTGCGCTGTGCGCCCTCGGAACGTGGTCACGGGATCACAGAGTCCACGGGGCCGCAACAAGCCCGAGGCCCTGGTGGAGGGGCTGCAGCGACAAGGCTGCACCCGGAGGTCAGTACGCAGGCTGGCCAGGTGCCGCTTCCATCAACAGGCCTGTAAACTCAAACTTCCTGTTCCGAGTGCTTCCATGTTGTTGAGATGAAGCCCCGCTGTGCCGCTCCACCGACGAGCGGTGGCTCTGTGGCTCCCAACCGCCCTCCCTGGGGGTCTCCTCGCGGTTTAGGGCTGGCTCCGGTCCCCAGCTCTGCTGGGACATGGCAGACGCAGTATCTCCAGGGGCCCATGATGTGTGCGGCACAGCAGCAGGGCGGGTGCCCCGCCTTGCGGTGGACGGCACCCTTGGTCCCTCGTGGCTCTCCCCCTTCTCACCTTCTGTGACGGGCAGCGCGGCAGTGACTTCCACTGCAAACACCAGGACGCTGCAGCCCCAGGTGCTGTCCCTGGCACCACCAGCCGGATTACTGATCCTCTCCTGACGCCCACACGTAGAGTTCTCCAACTGGCCGGAAAATGTCTTTTTAGCTCCTTTTAACTTTTCCCTCAAAAGCAGGACACGGTGTGTGAGCTGTTAAATGCGGTACGTTAGGGGTTGGGTGTCCTCACGGCAGTGGAGGCCGGGCTGAAGGCCGCCGGGTCCTGCTGGTGCCCTGGGGACCGGGCTCCAGGCAGCACCACCATCAGGACGCGCCACATTTCTGTGTGGCCCGTGGCCTCCTGCAGGGATCGCACAGCCCCCGTCGCCCCCGGGGCTCCGTCAGCCTGCCTCCCAGAACGGTTTGTCGGAGAACCTCCCGAGGTTCGGATCTCGCCGCGAGGCCCTCACAGCCTCTGCCTCTTGGTCCACAGTCTCTCCCGTGTGTCCAGCAGCAGCTGTGCTGGGCAACAAGCCTGTCACCTTGGGCGGAAACATTTCCATAATTAAAATGGTTTTCCAGAATTGCAGGTGAGATGCAGTCATTTGGGTAGAATTTCAGCTTTCCAAATAAATGATTATTATTGATCTCTTTGGGATTACATCTATTGAATGTCATTTCCTTAGTAAGTCAAAATTAGTGTTGGGGT